ATATAGCATCATTACTGGTATAATGATTTAGTTTGTTCACTAGGCTCGAGATTCCCGAGGTCGATTACCGGTATCGGGGTATTGACACTCGAGGTGTCGGACCCTATCCTTCTCGCTCGTGGTGCCCCAGTTCGACCCTCGCGCTCAAGGTATTGGGTTCATTATTTTCACGATTGCGGTGTCGGAGCTCGGGGCTCCGTTCTAGGCGTCAGAGATCGTCCTCGCAATGGAGGCGTCCAAGCTCGATCCCCTCACTTGGGTATCTAATATCGACCCTTCCGCTCGGAGTATCGAAGCTCGATGCTTATGTTGGAGGCGTTGGAGCTTGACTCTCGTAGCTCGGAGAATCGCAGCTCGATCTGGCCCAAAAGTTGATCTACATTCATGCCATGAATTGACCTAGTCTCAAGCCATGTAACTATCTACATCCAAGGTCTAATCCAGAAGTTGATCTAGCCTTAAGCTACGATTCGATTTATCCTCGAGTTTGGATCCATCCTTGAACTTCGACCCACGAGCCTCGTAAGGATCTATCCTCGAGCTCCATCCCTCGGGTCTCGTATGGATCTATCCTCGAGTATCGACCCTTGTGCCTCTTATGGATCTCTACCCAGCCGCAAAATCGATCTAGCCTTGAGCTATGAATCGATCCTCTCCTGGCTATGAAATCGATCCAGCCTTGCGTTATGGGTATCTAGGCTCTATCCTTGTGCTTGTGATGTCGGAGATTGATCCTCGCACGCACGACTTCGAGTCTCGACCCGCGAGTTAGACGTATCTCGATTCTAGCTTTCGCGTGTCGAGGTTCGAACCGCGTACTGAAGGTATCAAGGCTCGACCTGCATACTGAAGGTACTGAGGCTCGACCCTAGCGCTTGTGCGTCGAGGCTTAAGGTATGAGCTCGACCTCTGTGCTGAGGTGTGGTGCTCGACTCTTGCGCTTAGATCGTCGGTGTTCGATCATTCGTGCTTGGGGTATTGGGGATCGAGCCTCCTCCTCTTAGCACGAGGTTTTGGGCTCGGTCTTGAAATCGCTATAGCCTTAAGCTACGAATCGATCTACACCCGGCCTTGAAATCGATCTAGCCTTAAGCAACGAATCGATCTACCACCGATCTTGAAATCGTTCTAGCCATAAGCTACGAATCGATCTACGCCCGACCTTGAAATCGATCTAGCCTTAAGCTACGAGTCGATCTACCACCGGCCTTGAAATTGATCTAGCCTTAAGCTACGAGTCGATCTACCCCCAGCCTCGGAATCGATCTAGCCTTGCGCTACGAATCGATCTATCCCCCCGGCTTTGGGATCGATCTAGCCTTTAGCTACGAATCGATCTACCCCCCGGCCTCGGAATCGATCTAGTCTTCAGCTACGAATCGATCTACCCCCAGCCTCGGAATCGATCTAGTCTTGCGCTACGAATCGATCTACCCCCGGCTTTGGGATCGATCTAGCCTTGAGCTATGATTCGATCTACCCCCAGCCTCGGAATCGATATAGCCTTGCGCTACGAATCGATCTACCCTCGACTTTGGGATCGA